CTCTGTCTCAGCTAACCAATACTCGGCCTTCGAAGAAAGATGCCCCTATAAAGATAGATGAGTTTAGTCTTTTATACTTCTCAATGTAGTCTAGGTTCATCATGGGTGAAATTGGGTCCTGTAGAAGAGGGACTAAATTGTATTGGGGAGGAACCAGGTGGCCCTGTGGTGGTACCAGATAATACGGTGGAGGCACTGGATTGCATTGTGGCGGTGCCGAATGATACGATGGAGGAGCTGTGTTGTATTGAGGTGGCTTCGGATCTTTCTACTACAAGGGTGGCTCAAACTGTGCAGTAGGGGAGGGTCAGACAACTCTCTCCTTTCCTCCCAGGCCTGTTGGGTAGAGATGAGTCTCTCTAGTATCTCAAAAAATCAATCAACATCCTCTCGAAATAAACCATCCCGGGCTGCTCGGTTTAGTGGGGACCTTTTTTTCCTCAAAATTTTATACCTGTATTTCATAAGAAAGGGTCGAGCGATAGTTTGTATTTGGTGTTTTTAAGTCTTTGTGTAAGGAATTGTTCCGAGAAATGTGGCTCTGATACCAACTGTAAAAGTCCAAAACCTTAAGCAAAGAAATATATATTAAAATAGCAGAAGTAAATAGTAATTTAGAGTTTACATTTCTTACACAGTAAATTAGAATGTCTAATAGGGCTTACGAGAATATCCCTACTATAACTGCTCGTAAAAAGAAGCAAATAAATTGCTTAACACAAATAGATAATTATCCTAGGGGTTAACCTCCACTAGCTCTTAAAGGGGTTTGGGAGATAAAGTACTCACAACCTTCTTCCTGATTGAGATCTGGATCTTAATCCTCTTTATTTAAAATGGTTAATAGAAAAGTGAGCTATACTAGCCCAGTAAAAATATCACACTAATCACTGATAAGAAAAATCGAAGGTTGGTAAAAATTATAAAACAACTAATGAAGCCATTTGCTTTCTTAAATAAATTCATTTAGCATAAAACTGTTTATTCCATACTTACCATTACGAGTTTTCAAAATCGACCTATAAGGATAATAACTCAAATAATATTATGATTTCATATACAAGTTAGCAAGAACAACAACTTTTATTTTTACCCATTTACTAGTACCTTTTAGGGTTCATAGGGATGTCCCCCCTACGCGTGAACTTAATATCCAAATTTGTTAATCAACCGGCCGTTCCCATACCCCGTCCAGTAATGAGCGCCACAAATACCATCGCCTTAATATACCGTTCAGTATGAGGGTAAACCATATCTCCCAAACTCGTCCGATATGGGACTTTCCAGTCCCGCCCAACTAAAGTAACGTTCACAGTATGATTTTTTCTATGTATCAGGTTCGTCCACACTTTTCCAAGGTACCCAGTAAGCTTTCATACATAGATCCACATTATCAACTAATGTCCAATTACATATCAATATCCTATATTTACTAATCAACAACAAGTTATGCAAAGAGACGGTACGTAAATTAAGACAACATAATTGAGACACTTATTGCAAATGAACCAATAATTAAGGCTATCAGTTAAGTAAACTAAATAACTGAGAAAGCAATAGAAACTAGCAATTTAATGCACACTATATAATAATAAGTATTTTAGGCAGTATAGGAGAAAATAAAAAGTAAACTAGGACGAATATGCACTGATCGATTCCGACTCCACTAGTGACCTGCAATTAATTTTTAAGATTTTTTAATTTTTACAAAATATAACATTATTGATTATTAGGTTTCAATTTACCGTAACAGAAAAAAATGGTGAAGGATTCTTACCGAGATCAGTGTTCGAAATGTCGTGCTACCTACTGCGCCTTCTGACGGTCCTTGAATTTTTTGAATTTTCCTTGTAAAAATTAAAATACCCTTTGCATACCCAAAAATACCACAAAAGGCCAAAATCGGTATTTAAAAGGCTTTCTGGTTAATTTTAAGATTCTGGCACGGCGGTGTCACCGTGCTTCAGCGCTGGTTCTATCACCCACAGTGGCAGTTTGCCTCAGCCTGGCTAGTTTTGGTCGGTTTTACACGTATCCCTGCGAAAAAATATATTAGGAGGCCTCGGTTGACCAGAAAATAAAAAACAAAACTGAACCTACTGGCAGAGGGGTCTCCAAGTGCGGCGGCTCCATCGGTTATCCTTTGCAGCTGGGATTTCTTCTACGGCTAACCTGCACACAAAAAGACGGTGAACATAATTGTCGAAAAATAATATAAAACGGGAAATGGGAAAGGGCTCATCGGGGAGGGTTTAAAGTTTTGGCTGCTGTGGCTCCGCTGGGCTTTGCCCGCAGTTTTCTACTCACCTATTGTCCCTTTTGTCAGAGAAAAAAGTTTTATCTTTTTTGGTGGTCGATAGTGGCTCCGATGCGGCAGCAATCGGGGATCGACTTCCTTCTCTAGCGTCTGGTTCTTGTTCTCCAACAAGGGCTGGTCAGCTAGGGTTATGTTATTTTATAATGCGGATGTTTAAATACTTATTCTATGTCGATTTGGATCGTCCGTTCGGGGGCACATAGAGAGCAAGGAGGATCGTTCGATGATTTTCTGTTTAGGCTGATTACGTAGATAAATCTAGACCGTTCATCATGATTAATCTCGTTCGTCTGATCGCGTTTAAAAAGGGAATACATCATGGCCGTTCACGTGCGCGTGATGCGATCTGGGCCATCGAATCGCCCAAGTAGGTGGATCACCCGCGTGGAGTCAATGCCTGCCTGCTTGCCATGCAGCGTGCTCTAGTTCGCTCGAGTTGCTGACTGGGTCATTCCACGTAGCCAAATTTTTTTTAATGATTTAATCCCCTATTTTTAATTTTTCTTTCAAAAATATTCAACAGATTCAAAATTTCATTCATTTTTTCCAAAATTATTTTCATTTTCTTCCATAATCTATTTTTTTCTCAATAATTTAAATAAAATTTAAATTAAATAATATTTTTAATTATTTATATATATTTTATAAATAAAAAAATTTATCTCGAA